TTGACTAAATATAGGTGTTTGCCATTATTTCAGGTACTGTGGTTATCTTGTGTGGCCTCTGTCAAACTTTCAAAAATGTGTAGGTCTCCCTTAAGTCCCATATCCTGGCAATGTAAATATCTGCTATTTCTTTTGTAGATGTCTTGGATGCCTTATGAAGACTCAAGTAGCATTACATTTCTATATTTAGTCAGCTGAATTGAGCCATTTGTGTATGTGAGGAATTATTAGAGATAATTTTGTATTTCATGGGGAAGAGTTTTTAGATTTCATTACAATTCTTCATTCTTTCCAAGAAGTGACGTTCTGCTCCCTATGTCAGTTTAAAGACATACATGATTACTTTAATGCAACAGCAAATTAAAAAAATATCTGTTCTTATTGCTCTAGAGTTAACATGAAACTGGATCTCCCTTATTTTTAGGAATCATTAACCTAGTGGCTGCAGTTTTCATTTAATGTACCCTGTGCAAACCTAAGAAGTGAGATTTCCAAGATGCGATGGGAGAGACAGAATGATGATAGTCTTAGTTAAACAGAGTGGTTTTTGCCTGCAGAATTGGCTGCTGCTGGAAGCGTTATCTGGGGGAAAAAATAACATTACCTATTTTTAACAGCTCAGCTGAGTTTCCTGTGTCAGTAATTTGGAGCAGGATCCCTTAAATTTATGCTGAGCACAGATGAACAGGTTCTCACCAAAAGGTGGTAATTACAATGATATTTCTAAGCATCATTTTTCAGAGGAGACCCTCGCTTTAACAAGGAAATAAAATGCCTCATTAAAATTCGATAAAACAAGCATTATAGGTGAACAATTCTGAGGAATTATTTTCTAACAATAATTCTGATTTTTAGTTATGAAATCTTGAAAGATGGGCAGGCCTGTGTGGCACCGTAAGAGAAGTGTAGTACAAATTTACTTACGAAAAGGCATAAAATAATGTTGTATTTATAAAAAAACCACTAAAAATGGGAATATAAAAATACTATCTGGATTCCCAGGATTATATAAATTCACCATCATAATGAAGTAAGATCAAAGTCATTTACACAGTAATTAGATCCTGTACTAGGCTCACTTACAAGCCAAATGATTCATCTAATGTACCTTCAGCATTAGCCTGTACACATCAAAACCTTTTTTTATTGAGAGAATAAATGTTATGCTTTGGAATTCTGAACTGCCACCTGGCTTTCTGTCCAAAAGACTGCTTAAGGAAAAGATTTTATTCATGCCAAGAATCTGCTAATCCAAAAACATTTAAGAGGTATTTGCTGTAATTGAAGGTGGCAAGTTCTGCTTCCGTCCTCAGTATGAGTTCTGGAATTGCATATTGAATTGTCCCATCCCCTTAATATTTGGCATTTACGGATTCTTAATGGGTATCCCAGGGAAAAAAACGGTATTTTTTTATGTCAAAGGAATTAGATGCTGCCCATTCTACAACCTTTGTCTCCATTATTTACTTTAAGGAAGATCTGGGTGGCTTGTAACTGTTTCTGCGTGCTCTGCAAGTTAATGGATTACTTTTATTTTTTTATCATATAATTCATCTTTTGTTTCTGAAGAGCCTATGATTTGTGATTTTCTTTATGGGAACAGATTCCTATCTAATTTTTCCACTTAGTAACATACAAAATACTTAGAAATACTCTATTAGTTCCTTGGCGTTTTGTAGTGAGTTCTCAGTGTACAGGAACTGCTGAAAAGAAGATGAAGAAGAAACTTTTACTAGTATGTTGTTACACACAGTATGAGGCTATCTATTTCTGCTCCAGCTCAGTGAAATACTTAACTTGTGCTTTGAACCTATGCTTAGAGACTTTTGTAATCTTGGATCTGGCTCACAAGTACAGGATCTCTGCTGTCAATGTCTTTGAGACACATTTTCAAAGGATAATTACAGACCTTATATAGTAGTTTTGTCATAGACCTTGTAGTGAAGGCCCATAGCAATATTTTCATTCTATGGTTTCTTTGCCTCAGTTTCCTTCTACAATGTGCATATTTAATTTCTCTCAGGTATGTAGAAAATGTAAGAAAAAGCAACAAAAATAAATTACAAAGGACAAAAACATATTAAAGACATGTGATTTGTCTTCTCGCAGGAGTGGATTAAGTGGTAGGAACACGGTAGATCACTTTCCAAGAGGAAAGCAAATTGAGACTGATGAACTTTTAGAGTTTAATTCAGTATATTAGTAGAAGGCTGCTAAACCGCAGAAGCTCAAAATAACAAATGGCCTCATGTGGGTAACAGCAGAGAGTGCTGGAATGAATTTTAGTTTATTTTGTATAACTACTGTTTAGTGAAGTGTCTTGGTGAAACCAAGGAAGACTTTTTCCTCCTTAGTGATTGCAAGCTAGTGGCCATTAGAAAGCTCAATCTATGATCGTTGGGGTCATGCATGAGATAGTATGGGAGTGCAGTGGCCTCTGCATTTGGAAGTGCTAGGCATGCTTACAGATCTCAAATATTATCTTTTTCTGGGCAGCTGAATTAAAATTTTGATTAGAGGTTCATAGTGAAAAGGAAAGAATGGAAAATGCCAGCTTTTCAGAAAGGACTAGCAAATAATTGATTTTGATGAACAGAAGTTGACTCACATTTTCAGTGCCATCTTCAATTTGAATTATTCCACTACAAAGTCAAAATGAAAATAAAATGCAGATGTAGATAAAGAATTTAATGTGAGATGAGTTTGAAAAGATGATACAGTTTATGCAGATGTAGAACCTGAAGGTTATAAAGAAGATTATTTTGAAGATTTGATTCGTATTTTCTCAAAATAAAAGAAAAAACAAAGGTACTACTCAACACATTGGAATTGGAAATCATATGGAATGTAATTTTTGGAGTTAATAATTAGCCTGTGGAAGTCTTTAAATGTAGTAAAGTATGTACCACAGAGACAGTGAGTTCCGGGAAATTTTTAACACACGGGTTTTTCTGTATGTAATAAAAGTATTTCCCAGTCTGGTAGTTCTTATCCATTTGGATAAGCCAAATATTTACTGTAGCAGTTAGGGAGAAGCTTCCTCAAACCCATGTTTTTCTTAATTTTCCACCAGGTTTTACAGTTTTCCTATAGCATCTTATATCAGTCACTGCTGAGACAGGATTTCAGAACAACTGAATAGTAATCTGATGCAGTCTGACATTTTCTGTCCTTGTGATAATGACGGTTATTTCTGTTATCTCTTGCAAGCTAAACGTATGCAGTAAGTATAGAGAAAGGAGCGTGAAGAAACTTCACAGGAGATATTCAAAAGATTGGGATGATTTATGTAGTAGTAAATGAAAAGGTTATGATGAAATATATAGGGAGTTAATGTTAGATAAGTGTGTGCTTCTGTTCATCAGTTTTATCAATAGGAGAGGCAGGATTAAGTCTGAAAATACAGATTAAGTACTTTGTGAAACTTCATGTAAGTTCATCACTGAAGCCAAAAGCTTTGTAGAAATACAGAAAAAATAGTTTGTGTGTTTAAAAAGGAACTTAAAGAAAGACTTTTGATTTAAAGAAAAAACATTATGCTTCAGATAGAAATCGACTTCTTATTGGTGAGGCTTAGGAAGAAACTTCCCAGATAGGTATGTTACACTAGTTTGTTTTAGAAGGCTGTCTGACTTTGTTTAATTTTCTCAGTATCTCATAGTGTCTACTATTAGAGAGAAAATTCCTGACTAAGATCAGCAGTTTGGTTGGTCTTGGGCATATCCATTTTTCTATTCTCAGCTAACCTGATTTTCTGCTGGTACTGTGTATAACTCAATTCAGAGGTAAAATGTTTTTAAAAGTAGTGGCACGTCCTCAAGCCAGGTCACTGACCCGAAATCCGTAGTATAATTCATGTTGCTTGGAGTCAGGATGTTGCGTCCAGATTGAACAGCCAGTCCTCCAGGGCAGACAGCAAGACCAGTCTAAGACAATCAGAAAAATTTTAGGCCAGATACTAAGTTGCAGCTCCCATTAAAGATAATGAGACAAGGCTTAGATATGTAGCAGTAAAGTGCACGAGTGATCAGTTCTGTGTTCCCTATTTTCAGTCAGTGGCACCAAGGCAGCTGGCTGGTTTACTGTAATTTTATAATGTACTTTAAAGGAAGCTCACCTACGCTGTCATTTTGGGCAGCTTTGTGGGATATTCCATAGTTCTGTAACAGTATTTGGTCATTTATATGAATATTTCAGGGGTTTCTGATACTGTCCTGTGCCCAAACTTTCAGGGCCTAAGCAATCTTCCAGCCTTGGGTGCCCCTGCTAGACCGCTCACATTTACACACAGCCTTCTTCCAAAGCGATTCACAGTTCACTCTGCAGAACAATGAGATTTAAATGTATGCATATGCATTTGTGTACACATATGGATGTGATAATTTCTTAGCTCCTTGCTATTAATGTCCAGTTATGACAATGTTATTGGTACGGGTTAGACTTTAATTCTCTTTGCATTATAATGAGTATTTTTATGAAAGATATTGCAATACTATGTTATGCAGATGTAGTGGCAGTGAGTCAGGAATTGGCACAATGTCATCTGAGTCAGGATATCAGGGGGCATTGTGTACCAGAGGTACTTTCTTTTGGCTTAGATGCAGATCTGACCATCTGTGGTCATAAAAGATCCTGGGAATATTTTTGTAATAACCTAGTTTAGTGACCAAATTTGATTATGAGTAATGGCATTTGAATGAACTTTCCCAAATGACTACTATTACTTCTTTTATAAAATATGCTTTGTCATGTTGTTGTGCAGTCCTGTTTACATATGTAACTTTATGCATTTTCATCTGCTTTTAAACATACTGAAGGTCCAGACAAAACCGTCCTTGCAGATAGTTTGCAAAGCTGTGGAACACTCAGATCCCGTGTGAATCCAGTGAAAAAGCCACTCTCATTGACTTGGAAAATTACTGGGCAAATAGAGGACAAAGGGAAAATGTGACACAGTAGCAGTACTGTCTTGTTGATATCAGTGTCTCGTTGTCCTATAGGTCTGAAGTTTGAGGAAATGCAAGAAAAGTTTGGAGAGGAATTCTTCAATATCTGCTTTGATGAGAACGAGAGAGTCCTTCGAGCTGTAGGTGGGACCCTTCAAGACTTCTTCAATGGCTTTGATGCTTTGCTGGAGCACATTAGAACTTCATTTGGAAGACAGGCCACCTTGGAATCCCCTTCTTTCCTATGCAAAGAGCTCCCTGAAGGCAATCTTATGCTTCATTACTTTCACCCACATCAGATTGTGGGATTTGCAATGGTGGGAATGATAAAGGCAGCAGCAAAGAAGATTTACCACTTGGAAGTGGAAGTAGAACAGGTCGCTAATGATCAGTTGTGTTCAGAGGGGACAAACCCAGGTAACTGCAGCTGTCTGACTTTCCTTATCAAAGAACGTGAAAATGCAAATATCACAAAAGCACTTCCACCGGGAACTTCACAGTCCCCCTTAGACCTGAGGATTAGCATCAGCACCTTCTGCAGAGCTTTCCCCTTCCACTTGATGTTTGATCCAAACATGCTGGTTCTCCAGCTTGGAGAAGGTCTTAGGAAGCAGCTCAGATGTGACACTCATAAAACTCTGAAGTTCCAAGACTGCTTCGACATAGTTTCTCCTAAAATCAGTGCCACATTCGAACGAGTTCTCCTGAGATTATCTACTCCCTTTGTCATTCGGACCAAACTTGAGGATTCTGGCTCTGAAAATAAAGATAAGGTAAGAACATTAATTTGGAAGGGGATGTGTGTATATGTGTGCAATGGGAGAGAATTATTTCTTCAGAGAGAAGCAGCTTGAGTCCTGCGCACTCTGGAAAGCTCACTTACGCCTTGCAAAGAGGGGCTAAGTGGTATTCCCCAGCCAAGTGAATATTTTCCTAAATCATTTATAAACTTTGCCTGTGATATTGTAGCAAATTGTGATGTTGCCATACAGAAAACTCTGTGCTGTGGAGTTGAGTAGTGCAGCTTAAATCAAAAGGGTGAGGAATTTTACAAAATGCCCATATCTAATGCTTAATTTCACTCCAGCTATATTATGATAACAATAATAGTTATTAAGCCATTTACTAGGGAATACCTTTACGTATGTTTTCTGAAAGACTCTCACTGCAGGGTTCATACTGCCACTTTATTATATCCTATTTCTCTATTTCAAAATGCTACTTTCCCCTGTGTTTCTTATCTCTCACTTTGCACTCAAGGGAACCAGAGCTGGAAGTGGTACCAAGTATCACTTATGCTGGTTTTAATGCTTTCCAACCATTTAAATAGTCCTCCTATGCTATGCTGCCTCTTCCCTCAGTGTTTTAGAGGAGAGCTTCCTTAACCAGTGAGCCCTATGCTGAGTTCAGTGCATGCCAGGTGAATAAGGTGAGAGCATGTCTTCCATAGAGGATGTCTCCAAAGGTTGGATGGAGTTTGCCTCAGTGCATATCCTTGAATCATGGGAAAGCTTTTTGCTGTCAAGTTTTGGTTCCAGTTTTATGCACCAAAGCACTTGTACTTAATACTTAAATTTGAAGCCTGTGTGCGGGAACCTTGGAAATACTGCTGCCCTAAATGAGGGAATTATTGATTTTCAGGGTTTTTAGGAGATAGCACTCAAGAACTGTCAATCTTAATCACACTGGATACTTAGACACCTAAGTTCTGCCTTTGGGTGCCACATTTACAGTTTAGGTGGACTGGATATGACTTGAGAAACTCCAGGTCTGTTTGGCTACCTACACTGGGCCAGAGTTTCAGAAAGACTCCCATGGTAACTGCGTATTCAGTTCTGGGTTCTTTTTCAAAATATAGCCACTTCTGACAGCAGGAGAAGAGCAACCTGGCAATACTGTTATGTTGTGCTCAAGTCCTTAATATCTCTTGGATAAAAAAAATAGACTGAACTTTGAGAACTGCATGCTGTATCATTTTCCCAGAGTTCCTGTCACTCATGTAGCTCGTTTTGGAATTCTTTAAAATTTGCCAACACTTGTTTGTAAGTTGAGTATTGGGCAGGTAGATATGAGTAATAAGAAGTAAGATGCAGGTATATGTAGGTAGTGCTGTAAGCATGACCCTGCTTAAAAGTTGTCGGTAACTAAGTATTTCTCTGTTTCTCTGTCACACACTTCTATTCAGTCCATACTGGAATTGCATCCCACTTAGAGCTATTTCTCTTTTTTTAGAAGATTCTGACTCTGCAATAACCTCAACACTTTTCAGACTTGGTTACTTTAAATGGCAGTTGAAGGGGTGCGACTCAGTTCTGAAGCTGTTCAGATGTCTCAGTGGTTCCTCAAGAAGAAAAAAAATGTTTTAAAAGGCTTTGCGATGAACAGGGGACCTTTCAGCTTCTCTTCAAAGCACTTTTATCATCATTTCAATATATAAATTAGATCTTTTTTTGAGGCTTGCAGTGAGAAAGACAGAATAACAAAACAGTTTTCACTTAGTCCTGACACCAGCTCTGTGTTCAGATGAAAGGAAGTCGCAAATCATGATCTTTGCGTAACTCAGCACCCACCCAGAAGCAAGTTAAAACAAACAAACAAACAAAACACCTGTCCTGACTTTCAGGATCCTTAGTGCTTGTCCCATTTATGCAAAGCCTTATTTGTGTGCTTTAATTTACTGGGATTTGAATCACTGAAATAAATGGCTTGGCTTTACAACACTATCCTGAATTTCTGACACGAGACCTGTGAGGTCTGGATGATAGGTAGCTCTTCCAGCAGAGATATATGTAGACCTTTGCAGAAGCCCAGCCTCATGCATCAATCCATCAATATCTCAGCAAAGTTTTGTTAATTTTATAAGTCACCAGCTGTTCCTTGGAGCTCGGAGCATTTACAGGATCCCATTGTTGTAGGGACCAAACAGGAAAAAGAACTCCCCACCTGAAGAACATGGACTCTAGAGCTTTAATCCCAATTTTCAACACCATCCGTATTCCTCGGTCATAATCTAATGTTTTGATGTTTCCTTGGCTGATATTTAGGTCTCCACTATACAATGTACACATGTGGAAAATGCAAGTATTTTTTCCACAAAATGGTAAGCAATTGTACAAATTTATTAGGTCAGCAGTCTTACTGACTTTACTTGAGCTTATCATAGGATACCAGGTTGGAAGGGACCACAAGGATCATCTAGCCCTGTCAAGCTGACTCTTAAAACTGACCGATGCAGGGGAATTTACCACTTCCCCTGGGAGATCGTTCCAATGTCTGATTGATCTCATGGTAAAAAAAAATGTCTTCTGGAGTTCAGTTGGAATCTCTCCAGAAGCAACTTGTGTCCATTACCCCTCGTCTTTTCCATGTGTCTCCTTGTGAAAAGGGAGTCTCTATCTTCTTGGTAGTCACCCTTTATGTACTAGTACGTGGTAATAAGGTTCCCTCAAGGCTGAACAGGCCCATTTTTTTTCAGCCTTTCTTCATATGGCAGGTCTTCCAGTCCTCTGATCATCCTTGTGGCTCTTCTCTGGACCGCTTCCAACCTGTCCGCATCTTTTTTGTATAGCAGGGACCAAAATTGGACACAGTACTTAAGGTGTGGTCTGACCAGTGCTGAGCAAAGAGGGATAATGACTTCTTTATCTCTGCTGGTGATGCGCTTTTTAATGCAACCCAGTATCCTGTTGGCTTTCTTTACAGCTGCAGCACACTGTTCGCTCATGTTGAGCTTGTCATCCACCAAGACCCCAGGTTCCTTTCCACAGGGCTGCTCTCTAGCCAGGTGGAACACAGTCTCAGCTGCATTCTTGGATTATGTATTCCCAGATGCAAGACCTCACATTTGTCCTTATTGAACTTCATACAGTTCCTGCTAGCCCACTCGTCCAGTCTGTCCAGGTCTTCCTGGAAGGTGGCTTTCCCTTCTGAAGTGTCAACTACACCACTCATTTTGGTGTTGTCAGCGAACTTCGTAAAGGAGCTCCTGATCCCAACATCTAGATCATTAATGAAGATATTAAATTGCATCGGGCCAAATATTGATCCCTGAGGGACCCCACTTGTGACTGGTTGCCAGTCAGAGAATGAACCATTTACTACCGCCCTCTGGGTATGGCCCATCAGCCAGTTCCTCGCCCACCGTACAGACCACTTATCTACGTTGTAACTTGTCAGTTTTTCAAGGAGGAGGCTGTGGGGGACCATATAAAAAGCATTGATAAAGTCCAAGTAGACAACATCCACTTATAAGTTTGCAACTGAACACACTTCTAAGTCTGAGGAGAATAAGAACCAAATTGTACGAACTAATCCAGAATAAGACAGGATGTAATGGTTCGCTTCTGTCCATTCTTTTCTCCCTACTTCTGTCCTTCCATTTTATTTTCTGCAGTGATCAAGTTATCCAAACAGATGCTTTAGGTTTTTTCTTGATTATTCTACACGTTCAAAATGCTCTATGAACAATTATGACTTTCTTTAGATCAGTTTTTAGTATGCATAATGCTCTTTACATGTATGAAAGCTGAATGTGATTGGCCTCTGAAGTTTCCAGTTTTCCCATGCAGATAAATTCTTGTTCTTGTTTGTTGATTATAGTATGGTACTACCCAGATGCTGAAGGAAGTATTAGGGCCATGTTGCTCTACTTCTTGTACAAATATTCTGTTGTTTTTCACATTTCACACTCTTTTTTTTTATTCTGGGTTTTTTGTGTTTAACTAGAGAGCTTCACTTTCATGCAATCATATTTTCCAAATTTGGGGTATTATCCCTAAATAACAAGATCATAAATCTTGCTGTTTCACTTCTCTAACGAAACTCATTCTGCACCCCTCTCTCTGGGAGCAACTATTTATTGCAACAATAAAAAAAAAATATTGTGGCAATTAATTATTGGGGATTGATTGTTTATAGCTTCACACATGGTTAATACAACTGTACTCCACAAAAGTTTAATGGAAGTTAGTGAAGTCACATTTGGATTAAGATACAATTTAAATTGAGAGGACCAGGTCTTAACTTGTCTGTTGGAACTCCCTGTCAAGCCCATCTGTGAAGGTGCTGACATGTGAGGGAGCTGATGGCTGCACACTGAGATGCAGGAAGGCAGGAGCTGCTCTCCTCAAGCCACCCGCACACCCACAGTCCCTGGTGTTGTGTCCTCCTGGCCAAGCACCACCGCTCCCTCCCTGGCAGCACCTCCCAGTGTTTGTGCAGATCAGATGGGGTGTTTGCGGCCAGGTCTCTCCCTGATTCTCTCACCTGTGCAGAGTGTGTTGACGTGACTGTGTCAGTGTTTTATAGACACGTGTGTTATTAACATAGCTATGTCCCATCTGAGCTGCTGCAGGACTTCTACTTTCATACTTTTCCAACAGAAGTCAGTTTCTTGTCTCCGTGAGTCACTGTTTTTAAGGCAGTTCACCTTTTACCATGTCTCTTTGTATATGCTGCTTGTTTTCACAGAGCTCCCCCCATGGTTATTACCTGATTCTGTTGCCTTAATGACTTTGCCTTTCTTGAGCAGCCTTATAACATCCCTCTCACCTTAATGGTGAGACATTGTACAAATCTTTCTTTTGGTTGCTGCCAAGGCCACATTTCAACTTTTCATTGAAAGTGATCACAGGAATTTTCCAGTTTGGTGGTTTGTTTTTTTTTTTTATTTTCAGAGAACAAGACAAAATGCAGCTGCTAACCCAGCAGTGGGTTGTGCATATAGTGTGAGTGCAGGTGGGCTGCTCTCCCACCATTTCTTGACCAGACAAGG